GAAAGTCTCCTGAAGTTGGCACGTCTTCAGAATTCTCCTTCTTCTTTTTTGTCACTTTCGTCCATTCAGAATCCGCCACGTCAACTGACTCCTCTTTTATCCACTTTTCACATTCAGAATCCGCCACGTCTCCCGGTTAAGTCTTCCGAAGTTGGCACGTCATCAGAAGTCTTCTTCTTCTTCTTCGTTTTAGTAAATTTGGATTCAGAATCCGTCACGTCTTTTGTACTTCGACGTTTTCTTTTTTCAGATTTTTTGGATTCAGAATTTGAAATGTCTTCTGGGAACTCTTCTGGATCCTTCCTTTTTTTATTTTTGGACTTCGCGGGATCTTTATTCTTCACGTCTTCTGAAGTGTCTTCTAAACAGATCACGCCATCTTGATCTGAATCATCTGACGCCTCCACCAATTTTTTCGATCGATTTCTCACATTTTTCTTCTGCTTTTTGGCGATTTTCTTCAGCGACGTCTTCTTCTTCATCATGTCTTCGTTCATCTCCAAGTTTTCCGAATTTTCAGACATTTTTAACCAAATTTTCTCGGGATCTGCTTTTTCCAGTATCTCATCCATTTCTATTTTCCTCTTTTCGTCTATTTCACGTGAAATTTTTCTAGAATATTTTAGAAGACGTTCGATGTCAACGTCTTCTTCGTCTTCTGAATCCTCCACGTCTTCAGAATCCTTCATCTGAATCGCCTTCTGATTCGACGTCAATTCCACTAGAATCTTCATTCCCGACGCGTTTTCCACTCTCTTTTTTGCCTTCTTCAGTGATAAATATTCAGAATTTTCTGGATCCAAAATTTTTGATAACGTCTCCTGAATGATGCCTGAAGGCGTGGTGGCGATGAGCGGGTGGAGTTTGGCGGGAAATTTGAAATTTCCGCTGGATTTTCGGTCCTTGTAGAGGATGTAGGCTTCGATGGCGGATTTCAGAAGATGACGTGGCTTGATGGGGTGTTTGATGGTTGTTATGCGGGATTCCTGAAAATGAGAAATTTGAGATTTAAGGATTACTGTAAATGTCTTTATTTCAAAGGTTACTGTATTTTTTTTTGAATCAAAAGAAAAAATCAATATTTTTTCATGAAAAATGATCAATGATGATGATTTAAAAACTTTCATGAGAAAAATTAAAGATTATTTTTCAATTTTTTTTCAGAATTTTCAATTATTTATGAATCTTCTTACCATGATCCATTTGACACACTTTTTGTTTTTGAGAAAGTTCTTTGTTAAATCACTCGCCAATGGATTTGCCAACTCGAATTCCAGAACGGCTTCGTATCGATTTTTGTCTGGAATTTTTTTTTGGAAAAAAAAACAGCTACGCTTAGGCTCAGGCGCAGGCGTAGCCTGCGCTATTTGGGCTGAGGTCGGAGGGGTGAAATTGGAATTTTCAAGTTTTTTTTTCACCATTGGATAGAGCATCGAAAAAAAGGGACATACTATCCTTAGTTTTTCACCTAAGGGCACCGTCGCTATGACGGTCCAAAGTCAAAATTTCAAAATTTTCTTTTTAATATAACTTTTGAACGGATTAATTTTATGAATTCGGAGTTTGACCATTCGATGCGTCTTTGGAAGGCGCATTTTTTTAACAAGACAAAATTTTTTTTTTGGACCCCCCGACCCCCGAAAAGTCGATTTTAAACTTTCAAATTGACCGTTTAGCTACACCTTCTATACGAATTTCCTAATTTTTTTACTGAAGGTCCGCCTTGGGCTTGCGCGTTTTTTAAGTATAGTATGTGAACACATATAATTGTGGGAAAGTCCCCAAATTTTGAAAAAACCGGTTTTTGGGGTCCATATCTCGTTAACGGTCAGAGGCGGCATGGTACCGACAGAAGGAAAGTTGTAGTACATAATGAGGTTTAAATCATGGGCAAAAAAAATTTTCACTTTTGTGACCACCCGGGTGTGATATGGCCGTTTGAAAAAAACTGCTAAAAAACTGTCTATAGAATCCTTTTCGGACCACTTTTAATCGATTGGAAATTGAAAAATAGCTCGATTTAAGGTTTTAAAACAATATGTTAAACGGTTCGTTTTCGAGCTACAGTCGGTCAAACACAAAAAACGTCATTTTTTCGAGGTTTTTGGCAATTTTGAGGTCTTAAACGTAAAGATAGGGTATAGATGAAGGGGAACAAAAATGTAGAGTTCATTGATCGATTCGTTTTTTTACCATCCCTCTACAACCATTTTGACGCAAGTTACGGTCGTTTTAAGTTTTAATGTACTGTGGCTTTGCACTGTTTGACGAGCGCGCACCACTGTTTGACGTGTAATAACTCAGTTGAGAAAAGAGATAAACATGTTCTGATTTTTGCATCATGGATAGGAAATGTTGGGAAGTGTGTCCAAAATTTCACCTTCGGTCCGAGGAACCCGCCTGTGGCACTAATTTTTTTTTCCATTTTTTCGAGTACTGTAGGGGTCCCTGAGTGTAAATTAAGTGTTTTTAAGTATTTTTAGGGTTTTTGAAATTTTGAAAAAAAAATTTTTTATTGAAAATTTTTTTTTTGAAAATTTTTTTTTTTGAAAATTTTTTTTTTGAAAATTTTTTTAACGACCATTTTCTAAATTGTTGCTTATTACTTAATAACAGGTGGTTTCATAGGATTATCTTGCGAGCGAAGCGAGCGGTCTATTAACTTTCATAGGTCGATCCAGCAGCCCAAATCATGTTTTAGTTTCAGTAATGAAACTAAGTCCGAAAAATCTGACTAAAATAGAAGTGGAGTATGTTAACTTTCATAGAAATTATAGAAGAGTGAGAAAAGAAACCAAAAACCGGTTTTTTCAAAATTTGGGGACTTTCCCACAATTATATGTGTTCACATACTATACTTAAAAAACGCGCAAGCCCAAGGCGGACCTTCAGTAAAAAAATTAGGAAATTCGTATAGAAGGTGTAGCTAAACGGTCAATTTGAAAGTTTAAAATCGACTTTTCGGGGGTCGGGGGGTCCAAAAAAAAAATTTTGTCTTGTTAAAAAAATGCGCCTTCCAAAGACGCATCGAATGGTCAAACTCCGAATTCATAAAATTAATCCGTTCAAAAGTTATATTAAAAAGAAAATTTTGAAATTTTGACTTTGGACCGTCATAGCGCGGCAACGGTGCCCTTAGGTGAAAAACTAAGGATAGTATGTCCCTTTTTTTTTCGATGCTCTATCCAATGGTGAAAAAAAAACTTGAAAATTCCAATTTCACCCCTCCGACCTCAGCCCAAATAGCGCAGGCTACGCCTGCGCCTGAGCCTAAGCGTAGCTGTTTTTTTTCCAAAAAAAAATTCCAGACAAAAAACGATACGAAGCCGTTCTGGAATTCGAGTTGGCAAATCCATTGGCGAGTGATTTAACAAAGAACTTTCTCAAAAACAAAAAGTGTGTCAAATGGATCATGGTAAGAAGATTCATAAATAATTGAAAATTCTGAAAAAAAATTGGAAAAAAAATCTTTAATTTTTCTCATGAAAGTTTTTAAATCATCATCATTGATCATTTTTCATGAAAAAATATTGATTTTTTCTTTTGATTCAAAAAAAAATACAGTAACCTTTGAAATAAAGACATTTACAGTAATCCTTAAATCTCAAATTTCTCATTTTCAGGAATCCCGCATAACAACCATCAAACACCCCATCAAGCCACGTCATCTTCTGAAATCCGCCATCGAAGCCTACATCCTCTACAAGGACCGAAAATCCAGCGGAAATTGATGAGCGATGAGCTTAGGAAAACAACCACGCAAGAAAACAACCACGAATTTCAGTTTCTTCTTTATCGTTTTTTCTAACCCAACTTTTCTGTATGGAACTGTTTTTGTTTTTGTTTTTCAACTTAATTGTAGAACTTTACTAACCCCATTTCAATAAATTATATTTTTTAATTCTTGTGTTCTGTTCTCAACCTGTTTATGAAAAAAAGAACTCGCGTTCGTCGACGACTGATGATTTGCCAGATGAGGATATGATTTTAAGTTTTCAATTCTGACTTGAAGTCAGATTTCAAGAGGCGCTAGCAACGGCTATGATTGCTTTTCAATGAATATAACAAGTCAACTCGATATTTCAGTTCAACTCGAAATTTCAGCTCAACTCAAAATTTGTAGTTTGAATCTGATTTTAGGCGCCACGTCAGTTATTAGTTAGATACGCGTTTTCGTGGTGAGACCCATCATACGGTAAAGGGGCGGAGACTTGCCATTTCTGCTCTGCTTCAGTCATT